CAATTAGAAAAAGCTAGCAGGAGAATCACAATGGCAGTTTCTGGTGGAACGATCGAGATCACAGTACGAACACAAGTGGCAGAAACATTGTCGCGTAGCCTTCAAATATAAGAATTATAAGCGATTTTGTCTGATCTATGTTATCTGTTTCTGTAACCTACGAATGTAAAAGGATTTGAAAAAAATTGCTTAACCTCAATTAAGTTGTGTGTTTCTTCTTTCCTGTATGGTCTCAGAGCCAATATTATTGCCACTGAATTTATCAATCGGTCATGCTTTTTACCATTAATACGCAACGCAGTCTTGATGAATCAGATTCTATTTATATATTGGACTAGCTCATACTAATTCCGTGCACGATATAAAAGCGGCCAAGACAATTTAAGGCTGCAGTTAGGTTTGAGTCAATTGAGGAGACGGAGGGTCTGAATTTTTCGCATCTGAGGTCTTAGTTTTCGCCGCTCCCGATAAGCCAGATGGCAGCAACCAATAGTGCGCTCCGAACAGAAACAAGAGATGAGCATCTTTACAATCACATAGAGTTGTTCAATAGGTCGTCTTCACCAATAGATACTCTAGCAGCAAACCGTTGCCAAGATTGCAGAGGGCAACACCCGACAGAAAATCAGATCGCGACAGGTCGGCGTGTGTTCGGTGATTACAGAACAGAACCCAGCAATGAACACCTTTACTATAACATACAGTCAATCAATAAGCCATCTTCACCCGCCACCGAAAGTCAAGGAGCAAACCAAACCTCCCAAGATGACAGAAGACGGCAACAAACAACAGGAAATAGTAAGACGATGGGTCGGCGTGTGGCATCTGCTATGATAGCGGTTTTGGCCTTAACCTTCCTGGCCATGATTGCTTCATTGATAGCAACAACGTGGGTACACGCCGATAAGAGTGGAACAAAGAACGGTAATTTTTTAGATAGCTATAAAATGACTTTTAGTAGAAGGCCTAAAGTTCGAAATCGGAGTCGAGCTTTGGCTTGCTACCGCGGTACTTCGTCGAATTTGGCTGATTTTTAATATATACTCTCGAAATGGTGTCCCAAATACTGTATTGATAGTTTTAGGTGCGAATTCTCTTTACTTTGAAAGATTTTGAGGAGTCCTTGAGGGGCCGCCATTGGTGAATGAAAGAGTTCACTTAAAAATGAAGAAATTAATAGTCTTAGCCTTTACTCAGTAAAAGGATCGTTTCGGTGAGTAAAAGCTAGTAAAATACGGAATTATGTTTTTCGGTCTATAATTAGTCCAATTATCTAGGGCTAATTTTAACACACGGTCTGAGAAGAGACTTGGTGTGGGTTGAAAAAGGCATTTTATAGGGCTCTTTTTGGTTCAAATTGTGCTCAGATGGCTCCAGGAAAGGCTGAATCGGCAGACTTTGGCCTGCGTGGGTGAATTGGTACTTTGGGGCTGAAACAGATCTTTTTTTGATTAACAGTGTTTTTAAGACATTAATGATTGCACACAGAGAAGAGTATTGCCCATCGTTCCTTTTCAAAACAAAATTCCGCACATTTAATCTATAAATTAATTAATTCATTTATTCATTCGTTAATTAACATAGTAAGTGGGGTGGACCGGACATCCGAAGTGATATCTCGTTCTTTCTAGAATGGATCTAGTGATATCATTTCCCGGGGGGAGGGGGGGTACTCGACTAATATTTGGGTATAGGTGAGCCGCTAATGCAACTGGCCCACTTTAGGACAAAAAAATTCCTACAATACATACCCTGTTTAGGACCCTCAATAAATTTTATTACCTTGTTTAGGACAAAGGATAAAATGCAGCAAAGCCAAGGGGTACTCCTGGGAATTCTTGGTGGGGGTACGGTGTGCCGTCTGTTTCCTCAAATCCCGACCCTACTTCAGACCAAAAAATGTAATTTTCCACACCCGTTTTCAGACCAGACCTCTAAAATCCATACCCGCTTTCAGACCTGGGCTTTAGGCAGAAATTATGTTATCATTACTTACATTAGAGCACAAACAAACAAATTCTTCAAATTCATTTCGAATTCGCATATTTTTCTCTTTCTTTCTTACTCATTTGGAATGGAGGCGATTAATTTTTCATACATTCCCGTAGTTCCCTCAAAAACCATACCCGATTCGAGACTAAAATGGGTAGAGTGTATACCCGTTTTCAGACCAAAACGGCCCAAAAACCCTACCCGATGGGGCGGCACATACCTATATGGCATCCCCCGGAATAGAAGAAATTCACGTTATAGTCATTGCTTTTGTTTACTTGGAGTAAAAACAAAATTCATCCCGCAAATCAAATCAATCATGCAGGTAATACCCTTCAGACAGACTCACACGAAATTGTATACCCTGTTTTGGACAGAGAGGTCAAAAACCATACCCTGACCAGCGGCACATCCCTGTACAGGCCATATAAAGGAGTACCCCCTGGGTATCATTTATGAGTTGGGTGATACTTGACCCCTTCCATCACTATCTCTGTGACGCTGAAACAACGCTGATCGAACCTGCCATCTATTGTAGTTACGAGCACTTATCAAGTCGCGTCTTATTAACTTTGGAGTTGTTTCAAGAACCACGTTGCCTTTCTACGGTACTTGAATAGTCCGTATGGGGCTTTGTGCCAGTACTGTTCCAGTATCAAAGAATATTCATCGCCGGATATACTTTCACGATATTGCCAAACTATATTGAGCATAGGAATGTAAAGTGACGTCAATAACTCAGTCCTCTGCTAGAAAAAAGCAAGGTAACCGAAATTTGTGTTAGCTCAGCTGTTCTGGAAGCGCTGTTGAAAATGGCGGAAAATTTATCACGTTTTGCGAAAAAGAAAAAGCTGAACTACTACCTAAAAACATTGCAAAAAACAGCAAAATACAAGTCTACTCATGAAGACTGCTTTCTGAAGAAATATCTGCTAAACCACTGCAATCCCGTTTAATTAATATCGGTAGCGACTTCAAACAACATGGCAACTATTTACAAGCGTTGTACATGCGCCTAAACTGTTCACAGTCCCCTATTTTTCCGTAAGACCGTCAAGATCGAAGACTTTCGCTGGACTTTGCGTTAAGGGCGACCATAGTGGATGAGTGACAAATCTACTTAGGGGGCAGGGACGGTTTGGAAGGAGGAGAGAAAAATGGAGCGACTGACTGCAGCTTGCGATGAAAGAGATGCCAGAAACACATATATCATCGACTTCGCGTGTTTACAATCATCTCCTTGCGAAACAGTGATTATAATACAGCTAAAAGGGCATTTTCCCAGTATAATCTGCCAACATGCACAGCTGAAACATTTTCACAATCTAAGCGGCAAGCATGCTCTCTTCAACACCGATTAAAACGGTTAAACCTCCAGATAAATAGCCAGAAATTTCTGACACGGTACGCGGTCGTCTTTCTGCGTCTTTGTGGCAGAAACCGTGCAATTTCATTCAAAACTTCCCGGACTTCTGAAATTAATACAGGTAACATTCCCCCGGCCGAGGCTACACCAAAAGTAATTGATCTTCAAAGTACCGTCCAGAAATCCTTCGTGTGTTTAGGCCACGACTCGTGCCTTGCGAATTCGCAAAAGCGTCGGGTTTTCAAAACAATACTTGCCAAAAAACGGTTTTATGTCATCCCGGGGGGGGGGGGGGGGT